ACCAAAAGTCCAACTTACACCTCCACATTGATTCATTTGTCATCAGTCAGAGGGGCCAATGTGATATGGTTCTGTAATAGTGGTCTTATCTGGGCTTAAGATCAATTCTTGTTGGTTGACACTAACATGCAGGGACATAGAATGAGAACGAGGCAGGAGAAAGTCATGTAAGATGAGATCATCTTGAGTTAGTTATCCAAGACATTGAAGAAAATGACCCGAGGCTTGGTAGCTTTGAAATGAGGCCCCCAAACATCTTTACCTGAGGCAATCCTTGAAAGGGAGCTAGAGTTCCATTACCTGTAAATTCTGTTTTTGCACAAAATTTTGAAGCCCGCTTATATATGTTATTTCTATTTTTCAGAAAACTAGCATTTTGTCTACCACAATTTTCATTTCTCATTGATCTGAAATGTCACATTTAATAAACATGTAATTATTATTTATGAACCATTTATATTTGGACCCTGGATTTCTAGTTATTTTCCACTACTAATACTACATTCAAACTTATAGTCCTTGATTCTTCTGCTTTGCTTACTGGATAAAGCCCGGCTTTTCTAGTGGACATGTTCATCTTCATCCTGTGTTCCTTGTATTTAAAAAAGGAGCCCTGGTGTTGTAGTAGTTACACATCGCACGGAAAACCCTAAGTTCAGCAGTTTGAAGCCGCCATCCACTCCACAAATGAGCCTTTCTCCTCCTACAACCTTGGAAACAGTGACCTGTGGTCACTGTGAATCAGAGTGGACTTTATGGAAGTAAAGTTGTTTTTTTTTTGGGGGGGGCGGGGGTTGTATTTAGTAATTTAACTATACTAAATTATTTGTAACTTCTGAAAAGTTTTGCTTGGTGACTCATTTTTGTTGTCCACTCATCATTTGAGTGTCTTTGTAAATTTAATAGTCTTTAGGGTAGCTGCCCTACCCCACTTTTGTGTCAGATGTCCTTATGTGTTCCCCAGCAATGCTTGCCTTCTGTTTGTATAGTATTCGTCAACTTAAAAGAAATATTTACCAGTCTTGTAAAACTGGGCTTTTCTTCAGTAAAAGAAAAGCAATTTGTTTCTTCTGGTCGAGCACTGCCTATTCAATAATGAATGAGTACTGAGTCAGCAGCCCAATAAAGAATGCTAATTCTGATTGATATTAGCAATATCAATTAGTTTTATAGTTAGATGAGATCCTGTGTTCTTAGGGCAGAAGTTGGTGCCAAAGCAGGGACAGTTAAGGAATTTGAAAAAAAGAAAGAATGCTATCTGTGATGGTTAAGGTTTTGTGTCAACTTGGCTGGGCTAGGATTTTCAGAGTCAAGTAATATAAACTCTTTAGGGGAGCTCTTATTTGCTGAAATTATATGAGCGTATTCTTGTTTAAATGAAAAATATAAAATAGGAAAGTAGTCATTGAATATTTATTGAATACTCTCATTTACCAGAGTAAAATTTAGATCAATCATGAGTAGCTCACTCTGTATAATTTATAATCAACTAAATGAACCCTTGAGAAACACAGTATCTAAAATAGGTCATTACTTTGTCTTATGGTTGAAAAGAAGTTTTGTTTCAGTAGGTATGCTTCACTTGCTTTATGAAGTAAATCATTTCATTTAGATGACATAATGCATGGGTAATTGTTAAATATTTAGTAAACTTACACTTTCCTTCATATTCTTACCACTTCAATTTAATAAACATTTCAGTAATGAATATTTTTAATCCAATTATTTTTAGCTCAGTCTGAAAATGCTGTGCAAATTAATATAAAGGAGCTAATAGTTTCATGTGTTTGTGATTGAGCTAAAAGAATTCTGCTTCACTAGCATCTCCAAATTATTTTTTGAGTTGTCTTTTAACCTAAATGACAGTGCATACAAAGAGCTACCACAGGTTCAGGATATTTGACCCAAGGTCATAAAATGTGATTTATTTGTGCTGTATAGTAATGAAGCCAATTGATATTTCCCCATCTCTAAACTTAGGTAAATATTAAAACCACCCCACTAATCATGGCTTGCATAACACGTGACAGGGCTTTTTAATTTAAAAATCAATTTATTGGGGCTCATA